GGGGTTGTCGGTTCCACCAGCCCTTTTGGCCCTCCAGCCGGTCACGTTTCCTCCAGCGAGGGGGTGTCAGTGGGTGCTTGCCCCCCCGGCCCACGGTGCTGACCCGCTGTCTCGCAGGGGTTACTCAAGGGACGCTGAAGGCAGCTGGTTCCGCTCCCTCTTCGTGCACAAGGTGGATCCCCGCAAGGACGCCCATTCCAACCTCCTCTCCAAGAAGGAGACCAGTAACCTCTACAAAATTCAGTGTGAGTGGCCCCGCTGGGAGGAAAGGGGCTGGGGATGAACGCAGAGGGGGTGCACCCTGCCGTGCTGGGCCACCCTCACCTGTGGGGACACTCCCCCCACCCCAGTTGCTCTCCCTTGGGTCCTGCTCCCACCCCAGAGCCTCGGCTCCCACCCCAGCAGCCCCTCTCTCTTCTCCCCGCAGTTCACAATGTGAAGCCGGAGTGCCTGGATGCCTACAACAGCCTGACGTGAGCCCCGCCGCGTGTTTGGGGGGGCTGCCTGGGATCCCGGCAGGGTCTTGGGGTGCTGCTGTGGACTGAGGGGGGTGGGAGGGCTTGTGCAGAGCTTCTCAAGACCCTGGGTGGGTCTGTGCCCCTGCTTCTTGCCTCAGTTTTCCTCCCTGTGAAATGGGTGCACCCTGCAGGGCCGCTCCAGGTCCCATTAGGGCAGACCTTCCGTGCCCAGACCCCTTGTACTGGGCTGGGTGGGCAGATGGGGGGATCGGGAGCATTTTGGGGTGGCTGCTCCCCCCTCAGCTACCCTCCCTGTGCCCCCACAGAGAGGAGGTGCTGCCCAAGCTCCACTCGGATGCCGACTACCCCTGCGACTTGGTGGGGAACTGGAACACGTGGTATGGCGAGCAGGACCAGGCAGGTGAGGGCAGGCTGGCAGTCGCTCCCAGCACCTCTGCTGCCGGAGGGGCTGAGAGCGAAGGTGAAGGCCCCTGATTGTGCCAGGGGCTGGCTGTCACACAGGGGGAGAGGGGTGTGAGCTGCCAGGTGGGCTTTTGGGGTGCTGTCCCCCTTCCCCAGCCCCACGCTGTCCTTCCAGTGCACCTCTGGCGCTTCTCAGGCGGGTACCCGGCCCTCATGGACTGCATGAACAAGCTCAAACAGAATAAGGTACCGCTGGGATCAGGGCGAGCTGCCCGAGCTCTGCCCCTCGCCTCTGCCTGACCCCCCGGGCCCGGGTCACGCTCGCCCCCACCCCGAAACCCCCGGCTGGGGCTGTCCCCAGGAGTACCTGGATTTCCGCAAGGAGAGGAGCCGGATGCTGCTGTCCCGCAGGAATCAGCTGCTCCTGGAGTTCAGCTTCTGGAACGAGCCCCTGCCCCGCCAGGGACCCAACATCTATGAGCTCAGGACCTACAAGTTGAAGGTGAGCGGCTGCAGGGGGCCAGCCCGCACCTTGGGGTGGCCTTTGGATCAATATACCCGTGGGGCGGTGGTCCTGCCTGGTGTTTTGGGGGGCAGTCCCCCAAATTCCTCCCTCACCAGTGAGAAGACCCCAAGCAGGGGGGCAGATGGGATCTGGCTCCTTACTCTGTATTTTTTTTTTTTCTCCTCTGTTTTCAGCCAGGGACCATGATCGAATGGGGCAACAACTGGTAAGTGACTGTTTTCCCAGCATGGAGGGAGCCAAGGTAGGAAAAGGTCCCCCTGGAGCAGGGGGGGCCCTTGGGCAACTCCCCCCTCCATGTTTCTCCTGCTGTGCGCCAGGGCTCGGGCCATTAAGTACCGGCAGGAGAACCAGGAGGCAGTCGGCGGGTTCTTCTCCCAGATCGGGGAGCTGTATGTCGTGCACCACCTCTGGGGTAAGCGGGCTCCCTGTCACCCCCTGGGTAACACCGCCGTGGGGGCTGTATGTGTGTGTGGGGGGCCTGGGTGCCAGCTCTGTCCCTTCCCCGCAGCCTACAAGGACCTGCAGTCCCGGGAAGAGACGAGGAACGCGGCCTGGAGGAAGAGGGGCTGGGATGAGAATGTGTACTACACAGGTGAGTGGGGACCCCCTGCCCGCACTGGGGACCCCCTGCCCGCACTGGGGACCCCCTGCCCACGGCGGGGACCCCCTGCCCTCACCTCGTTCTTGCTTCCTTTTCCAGTCCCGCTGATCCGGACCATGGAGTCACGGATAATGATTCCCCTGAAGATCTCACCCCTGCAGTGAGCGGGGGTCTGCACCAGGCATCTGCCTGCACCCAGAGGGGCACGCTCCCTGCCTACGCTCCCCGGCTGCGCCCTGGCCCTGCTGGGGAAGGGCTGGGGGTCTCTGCTCCCCGACAGCTCCTAGCTCTCCTTCCCCCCCCCCCACCCCATTTTGGGGTGCCTTGTGGGGGATGAGAGCGGGGAGGGGAAGGGTGGGAGCCCCCCACCGTGCAGTGGGTCCCCATGTGCGGCAGGGGACAGCACTGCCTGGGGGGGCTGGGCAGACTGCAGAGATGAGGGGGGGGGTCTTAATTATTCCTGATGGGCCCAGTGGGTGCCTTTCCTGCCAATTAAATATTTAATATGCCAAAGCCTGGCCCTCTTGGGGGGGGGGAGGGGGGGAGGGGCCTGGGGGTGCTCGGCCCCCAACCAGGTCTCACCCAGGATGGCATGGGTGCCCCCTGCACCAAGGGGGGGCCACCCTGCACCAAAAGACTCCCACCCATGGGTGCCCCGATACACCGAGGTCCCCCCCAAAGCCCCAGTGTGCCCCCAGTGCTATTGGGGACCCAGACCATGGCCCCCCTCACCCCCCCCAAGTCCATGGATACCCTCAGTGCCACTGGGGCCCCCCCAACCAGGACCCCACCATGCCTGCGGGTGCCCTTCTGCCCCAGGACCCCCCCCAAGCCCACGCGTGTGGGGGGACACCCCCCCTACACCCACTCCAGCAGGGCTTGTCAATGGGGGCGCTGACCACGCCCCTTTGCCGAAAACCACGCCTACCGCCGCCCGTTGCTCGCGGTCCTCCGGCGGGAGCGTCCGCTAGGGGGCGCCTTCAGCCGCTGCCGCTCTGCCCCGCGCTCGTTTGCTTCGCCGGCCTCATTTCCGGGCAGCGCTGAGGCGAGCGGTACGGGGAGAGGCGGGCGCCGCCGGTCCGGGGGGAACCGGGCCGAGACGGCGGGGGGGAAACCATGTCCCTGGGCTTGGGAGTCTGGGGGGGGACGGTGTCCCCGGGCTTGGGAGTCTGGGGGGGCTCTGGAGGAGTAGAGGCCCCCGGCCCCATGTGCTGGGGGTCTGGGAGGGCTCTGGAGGAGTAGAGGCCCCCGGCCCCATGTGCTGGGGGTCTGGGGGGACTTTGGAGCAGTATAGGCCCCCGGCCCAGTGTGCTGGGGGTCTGTGGGGGGCTCTGGAGGAGTATAGGCCCCCGGCCTGGTGTGCTGGGCATCTGGGGGGGGCTCTGGAGGAGTAGAAGCTGCTGGGCCCGGTGTGCTGGGCGTCTATGGTGGGGGTGAGAGCTGGGATGGGGGAGGCTGGTGGGGAGAAGGTGGGGGGGCTCGCTGGGCTGGGAGAACTGCAGAGTTCAAGGGAGGGTGGCTGAAGGGAGGCCAGGATAGCCCTGATCCCAGGTGGCTTTGGCCCCCCATGGACAGTGGCTTTGCCTCTTGTCCCCCGTTGACTGGCAGCAGCACCATGTCGTCGGACTCCAGCAAGAAGAGGAAACCCAAAGTGATCCGCACAGATGGGGGCCCGCAGGAGGGCAAGCGGGGCAAGGCTGATGCTGACCAGGTAGGGCACCTGGCTGCCCACATGCACAGGCAGAGCCAGCATGCAGTGGCAGGGTGCTTGTATCCTGCCTTACAAAGGGCTGTTCTCACACCTACTCTTTTGCTGGCCTTAATCTCCCCTTCGGGAAGTTCTGAGACCATTCCCCTAGAGCCGAGCCAGCTTCCAATGCCTCTGAAACTCCCGCTCTGAATTTCTGAACCTGTTTCCATCTCCTTCAGGAAACACAGCGCTTAAGGAGTCAAACGTTCCTCTGGAGACATAGGAAGAGTGAGAACAAGGCTGAAAGGTCCCTTGGGGGTTTGCAGGTTGCCTTAAAACACTCCCGCGAGCAGCAGGATAACCTGGGTTCAGCCAAAGTGGAGACTGGGGTTGAAGTAGTAGTTACTTTCCCTGGTTTATCCTCTGTAGTAATTCGGCTATACCTGGTGCAGGACAGATACCCGTTTAAATTTACTATAACTATATGAGAGGCTGCCTGAACTTCCCAGGCGTTTTAATGTGTGATGGTATTTGCATCCGGAATTGTTAAGTGAGTCATCTCCCGTCTGTAAAATCTACTCGGGCATGGGATTAATGGACAGAGCCAGGAACCAAGACCCAGCAGTTTGTTTCCCAGCGCCCTTTCCAGAGAAGGTGGGAGGAACGAGCCGTAGAAGGTGCTTTCTGTCTTTGCAGGATGTTAGGTACTACAGCGAGGAGTGTGAGGTGGATCTCCGTGACCCTATCAAAGACTACGAACTCTACAGAGAGACTTGCCAGGAGCTTCAGAGACTGATGGCAGAAATCCAGGAGCTGAAGAGCAGAGGCATCAAGGACAATGTAAGGAGAAGCCTTGGTGCTTGATTTAATGTGTTCTGTTCTTTGATATTTTCCCTTAATCTAAGAGGAATGGGAGCAGAAGCTGCACGGTCTTCTGGGGAGAGTCAGGAAAATGGAACAGCCTCCCTTAAATAAAGGAAAATATGATTTAGCTGAGGCATTGGTCTTGCCTGAGCAGACGGTATGCAGACCACGTTCTTCTAAAGCATGTCTGGGATCCTGATGCGTCACACTGATGGGTCAGGGGCTCCTGGGGAAGGAACCAAGCCCCTCCTGACTGCAGTGGGGGTGACCAGGCCCTCGCTGTCTGGTGGAGGCCCGGCAGCCTCGACGTGGCTGGGGAAGGCTTGTGCTGCGACCACCCATGCTGTCCTCTGCACGGCAGGGTGGGCACTTCAGGCTCAAACGCCCCTGTTCCTACTGCTGAGAAAAATCACTAGAGTGAGCCTGGAACCCCCCTGTTTATTTCCAGTGGGTGATCTGTGAGTCTGGCAGCGGGAGGCTCCCTTGGAAGCCCTGGTGATGTTAACTGTGGCTCCTTGGCGAAGCATGGAGCCCCCTTTGTGACAGGACTTCCAGGAAGTCCCTGCAGCAAAAGGGGCTTTGTGGTGCTAGTTGTTGTCTTCTGCTTCAAACGCCTCTGTCCTGCCACTCAGGCTTCGGAGATAGACGAGCGGCGGATTCAGAGCTGTGTGCACTTCATGACCCTAAAGAAGCTCAACCGGCTGGCTCATATTCGGCTGAAGAAAGGGAGAGATCAAACCCATGAGGTACAGAGCAGGCTGGGGTGTGATGAATACAGGTTGAGATTTAGTGGGATCAGAGATAGTGCCATTTCTGCCTGGTCTGTGTATGGATGCATGTGCACACGCATGGGAGTAATTAAACACCAGCTAGGTTGTGGTTGTTGAATTAGAGGTTTATCAGGAGACTCTACTGTGGTGCAGCAGAAGCTGTAATTATAATGAATAACGAAGGAACAGTATCTGCTTCTGTCTCAAGTATAACGGGGAGTCAGAAAGCTCTGTCTTGGGAGTCCTGGCATGCTGCAGGCCTGAGAAATGTGTATATGATTGGCCCTGAAGCTCCTTACCCAGAGTTCTCGGAGAGCTTTTCACAGTTCATGACCAACACTATTTTCATCGTGCTGCGGATGAGACTGAGGCATAGGGATGGGAGGGGACTCGATCTGTGTGCCCCAGCAGGTCTGCTCTGTTCTGTGCCTTGTCCCTGAAACGTGCTGGAAGGGAGCAGAATCAGTTTGATGTCAACAATTGTTTGGTTTTCCAGTCCTTGAAAATGTCTTTTTTTCACAAAAATAATTGTTACATACCCTAAAACCCACTGTCCCTAGTTGGTATGGTGAGGGGGAAGCGTTGGTGACTCTTGCAGGGTGTGTTTGCTGGGAGGAAGGTAACAGAGCTTCATCCCCTGCTCTGGCTATGTCTGTGTTTCAGGCAAAGCAGAAGGTTGACGCATATCACCTGCAGCTCCAGAACTTGCTCTATGAGGTGATGCACCTGCAGAAAGAGATCACCAAATGCCTGGAGTTCAAGTGAGTTTGGCTGGGGAGGACGGGGAGTGACAGTGTGTCTGAGACAGGGTGGAGGCCTCGAACGTTTGGGATCTCTTGTTGCATTGCCTGACCCTGCTGTGGGGGAGAGCAGGTGCTCCAGATGCCACCACACAAGAGAGACCGAGTGTCCCAGAGTTCTTGTGCTGGGTCACAGGGGAGAAGGCTCATGTAGGGAAGAAGGTATCTGTTGTGATTGAGGGACAATGGAGGAGAAAAACAGATAAATGTCAAAGACATGGCTATGCTGGTCTCTTCAAGGAGACTCTGGTCTCCATATATCAGGAGTTTTCTTCCAAAAGGCAAGCCTTCCATCATGCCTGTTGCATAGGCAGTGCTCTGAGCTGCTGCCAGGAGGGCTGTATTTAGACTGATGCCTCAAACGGCGCTTTGGTTAACCATGTGGGGAAGGCGCCTCTGTGAAGAGGGGGCACTTGTCAGACCCTTCTCTCCTCTGCTGTGGTTCAGCTCGCTGATACTGTGGTGGCTCACGTAGCAGAGTGAAGCTGGGGCACAGGGTGCTGTTGGCATTGACTGCTCTCCTGTGAGACACGGTTGAGTTTGGCCATGCTGCAGCGTTTCCTGCTCTTCCCCAATCTGATCCATCTCTCCTTGCAGGTCAAAACATGAGGAGATTGAACTGGTGAGCCTGGAGGAGTTTTACAAAGAGGCCCCCCCTGAAATCAGCCGGCCTGCCATCACCCTGTCTGAGCCCCACCAGCAGACCCTGGCCCGCCTGGACTGGGAGCTGGAGCAGCGCAAGAGGTGGGTCACCGGCATCTCAGTTCAGTGTCAGCCTGTCCGGCGCTGAGCACGTGGCACACGCTAAGCTGCAGGGCTCTTGGCAGACCCCGGGAGTTAGCTGCACAGCTACTGGGTGAAGCAAACATGGGTGATAAAGGTTTTTAACACCCTCTTGAAATAATCAGTGTAGAACAAGTGACAGATTTATTGTGTAACTGAGCCCTTGGCGTGGAGGATCACCTTTTGTGTAGAGCTGGGCTTGGTATGATCCTTGTTTCGTAGATCAGGAAGTTTTCTTTCACTTGCCTGATGTAAGAGAGCCCTGAGGGATCCTGGGGAGCAGCAGAACAACCTCCAAACCAGTGTGAGAGAAGCCCCAAGCCAGCCGCAGCCACTGTGCAAGAGGGGCTGCCCGGCTGGGACCATGCCTTGTGCTCTGGGTGATGACACCAAAGGCATCTTGGCTCTTCTGGTAAGCCCACGTATTCTGTCACTGAGGCAGTGAACATCAGCACTGGCTGTTGGGTACAAGGGAAGAAAATGAATTTTATGGCTTGATGTTTCCCCAGCGTCTACTTGGAGATTCTTGCAGCAGGAAACAGGGATGCTGCCTGCCATAGGGGTGATACTGAAGGATAGGTGGTTATGTGCTTCCATCCAGAATCCGTTTCTGCAAGACACGCCACACAGGGCGAAGCGATCCCTGTTTTGTCTGCCACGCTGTGGTGCAAGGAACAAAATTAAGCCAGCCTGACTTTTTGGCACAGCCCAGTGCTGCTGCTGTTCCTGCCTGGCTGTGCTCCTAACGCTCGCCACAGTGGGGAGCTGCCTGCGCAGCGCTGGTCTTGGCTGAGCTGCGACAGGCACTGTTGTCCTGGTGCTGGCAGCCGCCTCCTCAATGCAGGCTCTAACCCCCGAGGTCCCTCAGCTGATGCAGGCAGGCCAGGTGGCTCAGCTGCTCTGTTGACTCTTGCCCCATGCAAAAAGCAAACATGATGCAACGTTCCTGTGTTTTGATAATAGCCAGCAGCTTTTTCAGCCAGGCAGCAGCCGAGACCAGCCTTCCGGAAAGATCAGTCTGAGCCTGCCTGCATGAGCAGAGCAGCTCAGCAGAGCAGACTAGCGAGAGCTGCTGCGGGTGGGTGCTATGTGGCTCTGCCGCCTCATGCTTCGTCTCTCCCAGACCCTTCACGTCAAACCCAGCTTCTTCTGCCTGGTGGAAGGCACCGTGTTCTCGCTACAGCTGAGATCTTCCGGACAGCTCTGCCTGCGGCACACGCTTGCGGGGGAGTGTTCAACCTGGAGATCTCTTGAGGATTCTCCTTTAAAAATGATTGTTCATTGCAAACTGCGTAGAGGCCAAAGATGAGCTGAGCTGAGCTGACCCTGTCCTGCGGTTGCACGTTGAATGCTGAGAAGCCTTGCAATTCCCAGTCCTTGCCCCATGGTATCTAGGGAACACTGCTGTTCCCTTCTCACCACTGTTGTGGTGGGAAATAGCCTCTTCAGCTGCCTCAAGAGCAGATGCCGGTAGTGCTTTGGGCACTTTCTGATGCTGGTGGGGTTGTTAGCATACATCCATAACTGTCATGTTGTGGAGTACTGGATTTGTCTTGGACTCTGTTCCAAAAGGTGCCTCTTGAATGACATTACAGGGATCTGTGCTGCTCTCACTAGCTTGGGGAGCTCAGTAAAGGTGTCTGAAAGCTGGACTTCAAAACTGCTTTGTGTAGGAGCCTGTTGTGGGGCGTTGACCCAACACAAATAGTTTTGCTTGGAAGCAGAAGTGTTTCAGTCCTGCAATGTCAGGGCTGTTGTTCCCCCTCAGAGGGGGTTTCTCTGCACTGTGGGTGCTCTTGTCTGGTGGGCAGCAGGGTCCTGAGAGGAGAGTGCATGAGCTCCCTAAACCGCTGCTCCCCCTGCCATGGTGGTGGCTTGTCCTGGGCAGCACACCTCCATACCCAGCTTCCCTGCTCCTGCTGGGCAAGAGGTTGCAATCAACAGCAATAAGGAGATTTAGTGTGTTCTCCCTAAACATGAGCCTGTCCAGGGCTCAGAGTGTCGTGGCGAGCTTGCATTTTCCTGGGCTTCCTACCCAGTTACAGAGAAGCACTTGCTAGCTCATTAAACCTCGACTTTCATGGTTTAACTATGGAGCTAATGTGATGTGAAGTGACTCGGGTGATACGAAGTGGAAAAACCTCTTCAGGAGCTTGGTGTGGTCAGCAGTGCTCTGTCAGTGTGGTTTCTGGCAGCAGAGGCTGGCATGGGAGCGGATCTGCAGGAAGATCCAGTTGCTGTCCCTTCTCTGAGCACAGCACGAGGCTGAGCTTCCGCTTTCTCTCCCTGTTTGTTTTCCAGCTCTAATCGGTTCCTTTCTGCCTCCAGTTGCCCTTGGTGTTAAGAGCTCTTTGTTTGTAACTGTCTCTGAGCTCTTCTGGTTCCTGCAGTGACTTTTGCCAGGTCGGGAGAGTTGGAGCCCCAGGTGGGCCCCGGCAGGCTTTGTAGCTGTGGCGGTAACTGAATTCTTACCCCTAGGCTGGCAGAGAAGTACAAGGAGTGCCTGACCAGCAAGGAGAAGATCCTGAAGGAGATCGAGGTGAAAAAGGAGTATCTGAGCAGCCTCCAGCCTCGACTCAACAGCATCATGCAGGTACTTGAGCTCTGCAGGAAGGGGAAAAGGCCTTTGGAGCCCAGCTGAGGTCATGCTCTGAGGGCTGTGTTAGAGAGGTGCGGCCCCTGGGCTGATTCTGCTTTGGAGATGTTTCACTCCCAGTCAGGGTGGATGAGGGGTAGATCTGCCCCATGCTGAGACTTCTCTGGAGTCTCCTTGTTTATGCAGCAATTCCCACAGAACTGCGGATGGAGGAGTCATTAAATGTGCCTTTCCCTAGAGTGCGACACACGGTTCCAGCCCCTTGTAATTGCCTTGGGAGGGAAGAATAGGAGAAGGAACTGGGTTATCTTCAGATCCACAAGTTTTCCAGCAAAGGAGAGCTGCCAGCCCTCCCCTGGAGGCTCGCTGTGCTCATGGCTGTGTTTAACCCTGCACCACGGCTGCTGTGCTGGTTTCCAGTCTCCCACTTACCAGCTTGGGATGAAGGAGGGGGTGAGGATGGCGAGCTGTTCTGTTCCCAGTGATGAAGCTTAGTCCTCTTGTTTCCCCAGGCCTCCCTGCCTGTCCAGGAGTATCTCTTCATGCCTTTTGACCAGGCGCACAAACAGTACGAGACGGCCCGCCACCTCCCGCCACCTCTCTACGTTCTCTTCGTTCAAGCCAGTGCCTATGGGCAGGCCTGTGGTGAGCACCGAGGGGGGAGTGCAGTCCTCAGCGACACTGCAAGGAGCTGTCATCAGCTGAGGCTCGGGGCAGTGCTCCCCCCACGGGCCAGATTTCACCCAAAGCACTGCTTTGGGGACACTTTGGGAGGTCCTTTTCGTCCCATCTGCTCTGCTGCTGGATTCTGCTGAGCCCAGAGCAGCAGGGTGGCCTCAGGGCCCACACAATGAGGCAGCAGCATTTGAAACCTTGTTTGCTCAGCTCCCTTGCTGGAAGAACTGCTTGGGAAGCTTGCTTCCCACCTCTGCCCCCCCTTCTCAAGGTTAGTGGGGACGTCCCTGCAGCCTGCGAGCTGGCTCAGTGCTGACGTGGCCTCCCAAGAGCTGTCACCTCGTGGGGTAGGTGCTACGTTGTGCCACTCATGGGTGGTGGTGACTCCAGAGCAGACAGTACCTCTGCCTGCCCTTGCAGAGGTCCCTCCCTGCAGCACACTTGAAAGCATTCATCCCTTTAGGCAGCTTTGCATTTTGAGGGGCTTTCTGAAGCCTCCCTGAGTTGGGAGGGATTTCCCAGCAGGGCTCATGATCCCCCTGGGCTGTCCGCATCTCCTCTGTGGAGAGGACTGTAGCATAGTGTGAGAGCTGCAACCCCACCTGCTCTCACACTGCTCTGGGAGTGGGGCAAGTGGCAGAGGAGCGTGGAAGGACAACACTGTGGCATTTGGCCACACCAGGTCCCTGGTAATGAGTACCTGCAGCCCTGATGACCCAACTCCTCGCTCCCTGCATGTGCCAGCCAGACCCTAACCCCTCTTGGCTCTTGATAAAGATTTGGCCTTTGCAGTTTCCAGGGACAGTCCCTCAAAACTCAGCATTTTCCCTCCTCTGACCTCATCCTACCCAGGAGATCCAGCCCTTAGGTGGCCCCATGGAGCCCTGTGGACAACTGCCACTTCCCACTGAGCTTTCATTCGAGCTTCCTCTGCCACAGGGCTCTGCCTTGTGCAGCCATGAAGCAGGAGCTTTCTGGGGCAGGAATGCTTCTAACTGCCTTTCCCATACAGAAGTAGGGTTCATAGGTTAGTTTTCATGTCTCTTCTCTAGATAAGAAGCTTGTGGTGGCCATTGAAGGGAGTGTAGAGGAAGCCAAAGCCCTGTACAAGCCGCCTGAGGACTCGCAGGGTGAGTTGGGGTGGTGTTGCTGCAGGCAGGCTGCCTGATGCCCTGTGCAGGCAGAGGGGTTGGGTGGAGAAGTGAGTGGGTGCTGAAATGGTACAGTGTCTGGTGTCTGTGCTGCTGGCTGAAGACCCTGGCAGCTGATCCCCTCTATCCACAGCTCCTTCCTGAGAGATGTTCACAGCCCCTCATCTGTTGGAGTGACCCCTGGTACTGGGGACATGTTCCTGTGTGTCTGCATCCTGCTAGGGCCCTGTTTTTGGGGGGATGGTGATGTCTGGGGGAGCTGAGGTCTTGGAGAAAGGGCTGGTAGTCCTGCTCCTTGTGGGAAAACTGCTGAGCCCCAGGCAGTCCCCGCTTACACCCCTCTCTTTGTGCAGATGATGAAAGTGATTCTGATGCAGAGGAGGAACAAACCACGGTAAGGGATAGCATTGTCCCCTTCTGGGTCTTTTCCCAGGACCATATCATGTGAGCAAACCAATCTGTGCCTGCTAACTGGGAGGTGTTGGGGGAGCAGGGCCTGACTGGGACTGGGAACTGGTCCCTCCGTGCTGTGAGTGTGTGTGGAAGTGCACTTTTGTTAAATCCAGCTGTTTCTTGGGAGGAGGGAGGTGCCATTTCCAGTTTCCGTCCCGAATGCAGGAGAGCCAGGGTACAAATCTACCCCGCTCGCATCCTACCTAGCTGCCTCGCAGGTCTCCGGCTGGAGCTGTTCCACTTTGTATAAATAGCCTCAGGCTGGGGAGGCTGGCTGGAGCCTGGCGTCCAGCGGGAAGGGATGCATGTCAGTCCCCTGCTGTCTGCCAAAAGCACTGAGCTGAGCTCTGCACCAGGGGTGGTTCAGCGCTCCCTCGGGGTGGTGTTTAGGTCCTACAGGTTGTACCTTCTGGATGCTGGGGAGAAGCTATAGGTGCTGCCTGTCCCCAGCATGGAAGCCCACGGGAGGTCTGTGCCACCACTCCCCACCACACAGCAGCAATGCCTGGTGTATTGGGCTGTAAAGGGAAGGGCCTCAGCTTCTGCCCCTCGTGGTGGGGAAGTTTTTGGGGCCAGCAGGTCCTTGGTCCGGTCCCACAGGGGTGGGGGACACTCTTGGGAGCTGAAGGAACGATAGGAACCGGAGCAGCTTTGTCCTTGCCCTGCAGCAGGGCAAGGGTTTCCTGCTCCCCTCTCTCTGCCATGCTACTCCATGGGCACTGAACTGAGGGACTGGGGAACTAAACTAGAAGGAGAGAGCAGTGGGAGAAGAGGGTGGGGGCTGTGTGTTGCCGAGGAGTGGGAGGAGAAGGATCTGACAGCTCTGTTTCGCCCTTCCCAGAAGCGGCGCAGGCCCACCCTGGGCGTGCAGCTGGATGACAAGCGCAAGGAGATGCTCAAGCGGCACCCCTTGTCCGTCACTGTTGACCTGAAGTGCAAAGGTAAGTGGGTACTGGTGGCCCTTGGCAGAGAGTGCACAGGAGTGTGTGACAGCAGGTTGGGGAGCAACCCAGCAGCAGCTTGGGATTCTCGGGGAGAGCTCAGGGTGCTGAGAGGCTTGCCTGCCCTCAGCCCAGCTGCTCCGGCAGGGATGAGCATGGCCTTCCGGAGGAGACTGAACAAGGTGGTTTAGTAGCTCTGTCTCCTGGAGCTCCTCTCGCTCGAGTGGGTGGGGTGACCTTGCTCTGAAGCTTCCTCCATCTAGTTGAGAGCTTTTATCTTTTTGTGGTGGGGTCTTGGGCCTGACAGATACAGCCTGGTAAATGCTGATGGGATGGCATTAGAGGTTACAGTGCGTGGGTTGCCATTTACTGCCCGCATTGCCTCTCTGCCCTGTTTGCTGACCCTCTGCAGAGTGGTCCAAGCTAGAGCAGACAGCAATGTTAACTCTTCTCTGTTGGCACAGATGAGAACGTGCTTCACCTGACCTTCTACTACCTGATGAACCTCAACGTCATGACGGTGAAAGCCAAGGTGACCACTGCTGTTGAGATGACAACTGCCATCAGTGCTGGGTAAGGAGAGCCCTGGGGACACTGAGCCTGGAGCTCATCAGGCAGCGACCCCTCCACTTGCCACGAATGCCCTGCCCTGGTGTCCTGTCATGCTCTGTTCAGAGTGACCCTTTGGCAGAGCAATGTAGTGCCAAGAGCAGCATGTGGTGGCAGTGTCCCTCTGCTGAGCTGTAGCTCCTGCACCCAGTGGGCCAGGGGTACTCCATGCCCAGTTGCCCACTCCCGGCAGGTGAGGTTTTAACCTTAGTCCCTTACTTTGCCTTACCTGGGTCATCTTAAGGGCCTTTGTGTAGAGCTGCAGTTTCAAGGTGCTGTCTTGGCTTGTCCTTTGATGGGTAAAGAAGACCCCAAAGAGCACAGCTCCATCTCTGTCTCTGGGGAGGGCTTTCACCTTGTGCATCCTCTGCCCTGCGATATCCTTCCCCTTAGCTCCAGGGCCTTGCCAGGAGCCCTGCCAGGCAGCTGCAGCCCAGGCAGCATCCTTCTCCTCTCTCTCTGTCATGACAAGACAGGGACAGGGAGGTTGGGAACCTCTTAGGGGAGCAGTGCCAGACCTGTCAGGAGCTGGGGGAGAACATCTGCTTGTCACATTCAATCACCCTCTTGCAGCCAAACTGCTTTCCTCCCTCCTGCAGCCTGTGCCTGGCAGCTCCCTTCACCTGCTTGCTCTGCAGGTCACCTTGTCTTGAGCACTGGAGATGCGCCTGCCTCTCCCTGGGCTCCCCAGAGACTGCTAGAGCCTGATTTGTGTGAGGAATAGCTGAAATGGCAGCTGTGGGAGCCTGCCCAGGGAGCTCTGATGAGCTGCCAGCTCTCCGGTGGCTCTCCCCGGGCCAGGAGGAGGTGCCTGAGGAAGAGGGAGGCGGGAGATGTGGGTCTGGGCTTACCTGGAAGCAAATGCTGCCTCCCAACCTGTCCCATATGAGGTCTCCCAATCCTCTTGGGGTTCTCTTTTTTCCCTCTAGGTACCCAGACCCCTCTGTGACAGGAGCTAGCATCTCTCTGCAGGGTTTCCATGCAGGGTGCTCCCTCCCTCGCAGCTGCCCTTGGCTGTATTGCCCCAAACCAGTGAGGCTGTGGCTTGAGCCACACCCCAAATCCTACAGCCCTTTATGCTTGGTCGGGCTTGTGAGTACAGTCAGACATGAAGAGTTTTATTTCGTTAAGCAGAATTCCTCTGCTTAAACTTGTTAGGTGGCAAACAGCCATTAGGCTGTGCCCTGCCTATGCTGGTGATATTTTCTCCACACACGTCAGCAGGTTTTGGAGTTGGTGCACTGGAGTGAGCAGCTTCCTGGGAAACCAAGGAGCTGGTGCCCTGTGATACCTATCTTCTTCACAGCCAGGGAGAGACAGATCTCCTCTCAGAGTGGAATGAGGAGAAAGCCATTCTGGTCTTTAAATGCATCTCATGGCACTTGTAATCCCCTTCTCTGGGCTTGGAACCTGTTAGTGGCTGCCCCAGAGAGATGTGGAGCCCAGGCTGCTGCTGATTAATCTCTTTCCTCCTCCTGCCAGTGACCTGCTCTCCCCAGACTCCCTCCTCAACTGCCTCTATCCAGGAGACCACGGGAGGAAAACACCCAACCCAGCCAACCAGTTCCAGTTCGATAAAGTGGGGTGAGTGGGGCGCTGCCCCACACAGCTGGGGCAGCTTTGCCCAGGTGGTTGGTGTGATGAGTGCTCTGCTCCTGGCCTGGCCTGTCCCTCTCCAGCTTGTCATGGAGGGCTCGTTGGCTGGGAAGCTGGTGTCCTGCCAGTTGGGATCGGGTGGGCTCACCGGGCATGGCTTGGGGTGCAGGCGAAAGAAGCACCTGCTCCCTCCGGCTGTCTCACAGGTCGGGCGGTGGGCGGACGGGGCAAGGGGAATGCTCTGGGGTGGCGTAACCCTTCCTCATTGTCCCCACAGCATCTTGACCTTGAGTGACTACGTGACAGAGCTGGGACACCCCTACGTGTGGGTGCAGAAGCTGGGAGGCTTGCATTTCCCCAAGGATCAGCCTCAGGTATGTCACACCCCCTCCCCTCTCCATCAGAACTTCGAGCTGGGGTTTGGGGAGGCTTTGGGGACAGTTGTCGTGTTCTATCCCGTCCCCCCATACCCCAGAACTCCTGGTAGCACCAGTTGCTCCCAAACCATGGTGCACCCTTGGCTGGGACGGGCTCACTTGGGATGAATCTGCACAGCAGGGCCATGCCAGCGTATTTTATCTCCAGCGTGTGATAGTCTAAGCCCCATTACAGGCACTGAGCAGTGACTCGAGTGTGTGCCTGCCCCCATGGCTGGGTGGGGTGGATCCTGGACTGTGGGGGCCCGCAGGCTGGTGTGATGATGACAGCCCCTCCTTCCCACAGCACACGGTCACTGCGGACAACTCGCTGAGCGCCAGCCACATGGAGCTGACTGTGAAGCTGCTGCGGACAAGGCTTCAGTCCCGCCTGGCTCTCCACAAGCAGTTTGCATCGCTCGGTGAGTGCCTGGCTCCCCACCTCATGTCTGGGGACGGGGAATGCAGTAGCAGGGTCCTTCTGCAGAGGAGAGCTGACTGATGTCACCTTCAATGGTGCTACAGATCTGCAGTGCCACCCTCGGCATTCCCAGTTGTTCCCTCTCAGTGGTAGCGGGGCTGTGAGGGCTGCCCTGTTTTGGGTGGGAGAGGAAGACTGTGCCCTCTCGATGCCCAGCATTCCTTTGGGACTGGCCTTCCCTGTGCTGGCAATCGATTGAGGCCATGGTGGGAGGTGAACCACACAGCCACGCATGTCGAGCAGGCCAGGCGTGTGCTGCCAGGCCTGTGCGAGCTCCAGTGGGATCGCAGCCGAGGCCTCCACTGCTTGGCTCTGGACACCTGATGAAGGTGTCGGAAGGATAATGATGTCCCCAGGTCCTGGTTTTGGAGTATCCCCACCCCAGGACAGTGACAGAACTCTGTCCCCAGCCCTCCCCTGCTCAGGTGGCCTTGTCCTCGGTTTCAGAGCACGGCGTTGTGCCAGTCTCCAGCGAGTGCCAGCATCTCTTCCCTACCAAGATCGTCTCACGCCTGGTGAAGTGGACTGCCATTCCCTATGAAGATTACGCGGTAGGCGCCAAGTGTGAGGCTGTATCTCTTCCAGCTCCCGCACGGCGCCAGCAGCTGCTCACTCCTCCTGTCTCTTTGCAGGAGCTGCCCTACACTAAAGATGTGATAGAGGCTGGCTTGGCTGAAGACACTCACCTCTACTACATGGCCCTGATAGAAAGAGGAACAGGTAGGCATGTTTCCTTCCCCTGACAGTTGCCAATTCCCACACCAGACACCCCCAGGGCAGCTTCTGGGGGTCTTTGTGGGAAACTCCTCCAGTTGGAGGCCCTGTGGGCTGTGGGTGACACTTCTTCCCTGCCCTGCTCAGCCAAGCTCCAGGCAGCTGTAGTCCTGAACCCCGGTTACTCCACGCTGCCTCCTGTCTTCAGCCTGTGCCTGAACTGGAAAGGAGAGCGAACCAGCAGCAACGATGACAACATTCGGGTAAGCTGGAGTGGTGGGAGAGGAGGGTGGAGAACTTCTGGCTTTTGGGGGGTGTTCCCAGCAGTTCTGTGTCCATAATAAGTGAGCCGTTGGGGTGGGCTGGTGGCCAGGCAGCTCAGGGCAGGCCCGTGAGACCTACTGGATGCAACTGTGGGTCCTGGGAGGGCAGAGCAGAGACCCAAGCTTGCGCCATTACTGATCCTTCTGCCTCTGTCAGGCCATGGAGAGTGAGGTCAATGTGAACTACAAGGAGCTATGGGGGCCAAAACCAGGCTACCAGCTCCTCACCAACCAGCTGCAGCGCCTGTGCATGGTGCTGGATGTCTACCTGGAGACGGAGCCCCATGACACCAGCGTGGAGGGACCCAAGGAGTTTCCCCAGGAGAAGATGTGTCTGCGTCTGGTCAGGTGAGAGCCCAGCACCCTGGCGCAGTGATGACCTAGGTGAGGGCTGAGGGTGCTGGCAGGGACCGCGGTGGCACTTCTGTCCCCTGGAGCACGGCCTTGCCTGACCTGGTGCCAGCCTTGAAGCCTTTCCTTTAGCTGCCTGTGGGGATCTGCCCCTCACAGCTGGGCAGTACCCCAGGATGAGGCCTTTTCTGTGGGTGCTGTGGGCTTCCTGACCCCCGTGGGTCAGCCTCTCCCTCTTCTCCTCTTGCAGGGGGCCCATGCGCCTGAAGCCCTTCAAGTTCAACTACCCTCAGGGCTTCTTCAGTCATCGCTGAACACCGCCTGGGCATCGCTCTGGGATGGGCCTTGTCCTGTCCTCAGGGAGGAGTGTCCCTATCCCACCATTTCAGTTTATTTTCCAAGGTTTTGGCTTTTGTTTGAAGGTTTTGTAGACAAAGGGATTAAATGCTGAACTGAAGGCAAAGCGTGTGCGTGCCCTGTCTGTGCGGAGAGGTGGGATGGGGTGATGTGTGGGGGCTGCAGCAAGCCCTGTCCCCTGTCTCTGGCAGCCACCTTGCTGCTGGTGTGTCCCCTTGCCTGGGGCACTGCCAGCCTCCTGCCTTCCCTCCCCCCCGCAGGGCCTCGGGACCATAGAACTGAGGTGGCTAAAATATGAGATAGCTAAAAATAGCGCCTTTCCAGAGCCTGCACTGCAGCCCCAGCCTGTCCTTGCCTGCACTGGCTGTCAGCCAGCTGACTCGGCACAAACCCCGTAACGACGAGGTGGGGGGGGCTTTGCTGCTTCCCTGGGCTTGCAGGGAGGGGAGCAGAGCAGTGTCCTATGAGAGGCAGGACCTCACGGCACTGTGTGAGGGGTTGAGGCTTGAGGTGGGAAATCCCAGCACCTCACAGCTCCCCACTGTGGGTCCTGTCCCACAGCGAGGCTGGCAGAGTTGGGTTCCATCCCCACTCCCAAGGTCATCATCCTTCCTGGCCACCAGCCTCTCCATGTCTCCCCCGTGGGTGATTTCTCCCCCAGGAAGGCTGACAGACCTTCCCCATGCTCCCGCACAGCCTCTGCTGTCAGCGCACTGCTGCAGTGCAGGGTTGTACCGCAGCTCTCAGGTTAAACCAGGAGGCCCTACCAGCCCCCTGGGAGCCCTGCTTTAAAAAGAAAAGGAAGAAAAAAACCTCAAACAAACCCCACTACAATCCTTTGCAGAGCCGGGGGGGGGCTGCTGGCTCTGTTTCCGGCCCCTGTGCAGGCAGGGATCACGCAGGCAGCCCACCAGGACAGGGGTTCCTTTGTGCCTGCTGTGGGGTGGGCTCTCTCCAGGCAAGGACTGAGCTTTCCTCCCTGGAATGCAGCCGGGCTGCTGGGAAGCCCCATGTCACCCCCCAGCCCTGGCTGACAGCTCCCAGCCCCCCCGGGCCAGGCTTTCCTGCCTTCCTTCATCATCTCTTCCTTTCCCACACCCTGCCACCCCAGAGAGGAGGCCAGCAAGAGCCAGAGTGTCTCTGTAAGCACTTTATTTGGTTATTGCACAGAAAGCAAATAACAGTGGGTTGAGGATCCTAGTGCACCGTGTGTCTGTGAGCATCCCTGCAGTGCCCAGCCTCTCCCACCGAAGCCAGCTGCAGCCTGGGTCACCGCTCGGAGGGCCAGTCGTCACCCCCAGGCCAGGGAAGGACCCCAAGGACCCCGCCAACCCCCCCTCCCAAGCAGCTAGAGCTCTGCATTGCACTCATCCATCAATTGCACATACATTAAATAAATGCACTTATTGGAGAAGGGCGGTCGGTTCCCCTGGGGTCTCTTCTCCTCGGTTATAATTCAAGTGTTTAAATGTGGCGCTCGGCGTATATCACATTCTGCTAGGGAAGCTATCGGCCAAACCGCCGGGGCAGGGCAGCGAGGGGCTGCGTCTCTCACACAGACATATTGCTAAGGTAAAGCCCGGCCTGGCAAGGGGTCCCCACGCCAGGTCCAGCTGTGGAAGGGGACCGGAGCAGCTCCCACACCCAGAAGTGCTCTTCAGCACCCAGGGCTCTGCTCACTTCTTCCCTGCGGCGGGTGCCGGCTCTGGGGCTTTGGCCTCCTTGCTGGAGGGGGCCTCGGCCTTGGGGGACTCTTTACTGGCTTTGGGCTCATCTTTGGGTTTTGCTTTAGCTTTGGGCTCCTCCGCCTTCTCCTTCTTGGGCTCCTCCGCCTTCTCCTTCTTGGGCTCCTCCGCCTTCTCCTTCTTGGGCTCCTCCGCCTTCTCCTTCTTGGGCTCCTCCGCCTTCTCCTCAGCCTTTGGCTTCTCAGCCTCCTTCGCAGACGCTTTGCTGACCTCCTGCTGAGGTTTTGGCGGAGCCTCCTTCTCAGCCTTTCCTTCTTCCGCAGGTTTGGGGCCCGGCTTGGTGGTCTCCTTCACCTGTGGGGCTGGAGGCTCTGGCACAGCAGCCGCCTTCTCTTTGGGCTTCTCCTCCACCTTAGCTGGGACATCTTTCTTGGGAGCTTCTTCTTTCCTGCCCTCCTCAGCTCCAGGCTTGGAAGGAGCCTTCACCTCCTTCGGCTGCTCTTCTTTTGCAGGGGCTTTCGGCTCCTTTGGGGGCGAGGGGGTGGGCTCCTTGGCCGGGGCCACTTCCTTCTGTGGAGACTTGGCCTCCTCCTTCACAGGAGATTTGACTTTCTCAGGAGACTTCACAGCTGGGGTCTTAGCCTCCTCTTTCGAGGGGGGTGCAGGTTTCTCTGGGGACTTCACCGCCGGGCTCTTGGCCTCTTCCTTTGAGGGGGTTGCAGGCTTTTCTGGGGATTTGACAGCCGGGCTCTTGGCCTCCTCTTTTGAGGGGGTTGCAGGCTTTTCTGGGGATTTGACAGCCGGGCTCTTGGCCTCTTCCTTTGAGGGGGTTGCAGGTTTTTCTGGGGACTTGACAGCCGGGCTCTTGGCCTCCTCCTTTGAGGGAGACTCAGGTTTCTCTGGGGACTTGGCCTCCTCTTTTGCAGGAGACTTAGCCTCCTCTTCACCCTCTGCTTCAGGTTTCTCCTCCTCTTCTTCCTCCTTCTCTTCAGCTTTCTCCTCTTCAGCCTCTTTCTCAGCCGCCTCCTCCTCCTCTGTGACCTCCTCAGTCACCTGGATTTCCTCTGTCTGCTCCTCCACAATCACTGTCTCCTTCTCAGATTTTTCTACCACCTTGATCTTCTCCTCACTCTTCACCTTGATGTTGGCAGTGATGCTGGGAGCCTTGGGAACTACCTCGGGGAAGGAGAGCATCCCAAAGCCAGACTCGATCCGATATTCCTCCCCTTCTAAGAGCTTTCTGCCAGAAAAAGACCAGAGTAGGGCAGTCAGTGATGGCTTCTCACCCAGCTCTCACCTCCTCTCGTGACCAGGAGCTGCCAGCCATACCCTGCAGCTCCATCTCCCTCCTTGCCCAGATGCAGGCTGACCCTCCCACTCCTATGCCCTGAGCTGTGCAGGTTTCCTCACCCTTTCCTCTGCAAGCCATGTGCAGGGCTGGGTCACCCAGTTGGACGTTGCCTACCATGGTTTTGGAGCATGAATCATCTCTTTCTCACCAAGAAGGGCTCAGGTGTTAGCGAGGGCCCTTGAGGAGTGTCCTCAGACACACCAGTGCTAGGGACTGGCTGAGACCCTCCCACCCTCCCCTTGCCCACCCCATACCTATAGGCAGCAATTTCAATGTCCAGAGCCATTTTGACATTGAGCAGATCCTGGTACTCCCGGAGCTGAGCTGCCATCTCCCACTTGGTGTTCCTCAGCTCACTGTCAAGCTGCTGGATGGTTTCCTGTGGGCAGACAGAGCAACTGGTGACACAGGGGGAGTGCAGTCCCCAGGAGCAGGGGGATGCAGAGCAACCCCTAAATAGTCCCCTGGTTTCCAGAGGAGGGACTGTTCACCCAGCACCAGGGTGCCCTCACAGAGGGGTCCGCAGCCACTTTCCCCTGCAGACACAGAGGGAAGGGTACACGTCCAGGGGCTGTTTCAGTGTGTCCAGTTCCCTTGGGGCACGGGCAGGAGCCCTGCATCATCTCAGAGGAGAGCTGCACTGTGGCCAGCTGAGCCCTCACCCCCCTCCCAGAGCTCACTCCAGCAGGGACAAGCTGTGGGAATGTCTCTAGGACTTGGGTGCGCCTGGTGGCCACCAAACCCCAGCCTGAAGCTGATGGGGCATCACTCTGAGGACAGTGTTTCCGTCCATGGCTACCACCTGGTGTAGCCCTACATGCTGCAATTCCCAGCTCTGGACACGAGATGTGGCCTGAACCCTGGGCACGGTTCAGTGGCATTTGTGACCAACATCGTGGGCAGCTCAAAGCCAGGCAGAGACATGGGACAGCTCCGGCCTGGGTGAGGGACACAACAGTCTGGATGCAACCTCAGGCTCTGGGTACCTGGTCACCAGGAGCTGGGGAATGCCGGCTCTACACAAAACCCTGAGTATTTGCCGTAGGTCATCACCATCTCTGAAGCCAAAGCACCAGCGCTGCTCCTCCGCAGCAGCTGTCTGGTCCCTCCCCACCACACGATGTCTGGGATGCTGCCCACTGCGCCACATTACCTGGTAGGACAGGACATCTGCATGATGGCGCTCCTCTGAGTCCTGTCTCTGCCTCTCCAGTGACTCCTGGGTCCCTTTGAGGGCTTCGAGCTCGGTGGTCTTGGACTGGAGCTGGCGGCGGTACTCGCAGATCTCCTCCTGAGCCAAGCGGATGGCATCCGTGTTCACCTTGGCAACCTCCGAGAGCTTGTCCAGCCTCACTGCAACAGAGGAAAGGAAAAGCTGCAGGGAGGGAGGCTGCAGTCTCCCCTTCTTGGGGAACTTAAAATCCTTTAATACTGCACACCCCCCTGTGTGTGTCCTCAACAGAGCCAGCCCCAGCAGGGGCTCCCTGGGTGCGCTGCCTTCACCAGCCCTCGCTCCGCCTGTGCCTGCACTGTGCCGGGGAATTGAAGGTCCCCGGGCTGGGTGGGTGTTTCCACCATCCTGGACTTTATCCAGTGCAGACTCACGCTGCAAACCTCCCTCTCCCCTTCAGCTCCTGCCACAACCCCTATCACCTAAAGAGCTGCCTGCTCACCCTGCCCACACCACCTTGCCACGCCTGGCTCCGTCCTGGGGCAAGGCTGGGGGGGGGAATGACGCAGCGCCCCGCAGCCACCCGGGGG